ATAAAGGAACTACCTTCATCCTCTCACTTCTACGTTAGACAGGGACCTCCAACAGAGCCAACACACTGAAGGTGAAACTTGGGTTCCTGAGAAGCCTAAGTACCATGTGGCCTCTTTTCTGTAGACCGATCAGAGCTGCACAATCCACTCTGTATTTTTCTGCAATGTCTACAAAAACCCTTAATGCTCTCTACAAGATGAATGAGTTGTGCCAGGAGGATTGAATTCTCAGTGGGAAGACTTTCATTGTAACCTTGAAGCTACTCATTGAGTCTGGAAGAGGGATGGGGTGAGGGGAATAAATCAGGCTTGTAGGAGAAAAACAAATGATGCCAATTTTAAATGGAATCAAACTCACTCCTCCCCTGCAACAAAAAGCACAAATGAGACAAACAAAAATTTTAAGTCCTCTATTATTTTTCTAATGGTTGCATCCCACTGTTTGTGAAATATTTGTTCTTGTGTTTTTCTTGAGCACTTTGTATTGCTTTTCCATTTAACACACCTGTGCTGTTGATGGCAAAAGCTGAGATAACTGAGCATTAATCTGAGGCTAACTGAGCTGAGACCAGATGGATGAGTGAACTTGACTCTGCAGGTGGCACTTTGCACTTCTCTGCTGACCTTTGCCATGAGGAAAGGTGACAAGGTTTGCAGCACTGCGAAAGGATGTTATGAGCTGGAAAGTGATTCATGTTGAGGAAAACAGGTTGGTTAGTAACAGGAGGTGTAGGAGGCTTTCTGAGGAAAATAAAACCATACAGTGAAACATTTCACTTAATTAAGCTGCCCCATTTTACAGTAGGGAGATCAAAGGAGAGAGGAACTGGAGAAGCAAAGAATGCAGTCTGTCCCATAAAAGATAGGTGAAAGGGGAACATAAGTCTAAAAATAACAAGGGAAACCTGTGCCACCCTAAATGTTTTATGAACAAACTTATTAAAGCAGCAAAACGAACCAGAAGGGAGGACAAGGGAGGCTTTTTGGCAGCCAGTACTTCTCTGTGGCACAGCCAAGTCCCAATGGGACCAACACCACAATCTTGATCAGCCTGCACACTGGAATACCAGAAGAAATAAAGGAAGGGGCTTCACTGAAGAAAGGGAGAGAAAGCAACTGAAAGAGAAAAAGATGAAAAAGGATGAAGCTGAGTCAGGGGAGGTTTAGGTTGGATATTAGAAAAAGTTTCTTCGCCCAGAAGGTGGTTGGGCACTGGAACAGGCTCCCCAGAGAAGTGGTCACAGCACCAGCCTGACAGAGCTAAAGAAGCATTTGGACAATGTTCTTATGTACATGGTGTGATATTTGGGTGTCCTTCACAGGGCCAGAAGCTGGACTCCGTGATCCAGACAGGTCTCTTCCAACTCAGTTGATTCTATGATTCTAAGATTCCAAGATTACAGGAGAGTCTGAGGGGTTGTGTAAGGGAACTCATTTAATAAAAAGAATTCAAGAGTCCAGGACCGTATTCAGATCTAGAGTAGAAAGAGGTGAGACATTAAATTCTTCGCATGGACAAGAGTGATGTGCTGGGCTGCTTCTTGTGGCTAAGTGACTCAGACTGCCAGATTCTTACTTTGCTCATTCAGATGTTTATTTTGATCTTTTGACAAATCAGATCAGTATAATATCTAGGCCCATCAAAAACATTTGCTGTTGCCTTGGCTAGCATTTAATAGTCCTGCACTCTGCAGTAGATCAGACTGAGTGTTAATCTGCATCTTTAAACACTGACATTCCTCTAAAAATCTGACCTTAACAACATTTATTCACCATCAATGAAATGAGTATGACTCCTGTGTATGTATCCCATCAGAATTTCCAAATAGGCACTATGAGTTGTTATGATACTGCAATTGTAAATAAACTAGAAAAATTTTCTTCTAATTCACTGAAAATCCTGTTCAAATGCAGTCTGTGATTTCTGGGAGGGTATTATGAAAACTCTGCTTCAGAATGCAGAACACACTATAAAGGAAGTTCTCCATGGTTTCTTTATTAACGGGTAATTTCCTGAGTGAAACCCTAAGAGACTGAAAGAAAACTGGATTTGTTATCTGGGGACAGCTGCAGATATGCAAGTCCAATTTTTTAACAGCTAAAGCAGATAGAGCAAAAGCTCCCTTGGTTTTCAACTCGCTCTTTGTGTTGGGGATGTCTGCTTCATGCTTTCCTTTCTGTCTCTTTTCATTTTCAGCTTCAAAATGGAAATAGATTTGAATCCTTACCTCTGTCTAATTCCCATTATTTCCACTTACACTTTAATACCATGCAGGGAAGTTAAAGAGCTGTATGTTCTGCAGTGTCAGTGCTGTGGAGTGTGCCAGAGCTCCCCTGTCACCATGTCCAGGGGTGTTTTGATGACGGCAGAGGGCAGCCACAGCTGAGGGACATGAGCAAAGAGGGGCAGCTGTTGCCTGTTCCCCACTCAGCATTGTGAATGCATGATATCATGGCCGTGTTGGGAGTTTATCTCACACACAAATTGCCACAGGAAGCATTTTGTCAAAATTTCAAAATCAAAGTAGTCACAGCCTCTATAGTGAGCAGCTTTATTTACTTAGGAGATAAAGGCAGCAGAGCAGAAAGTTAAATTAGGGTATGCAGTCTCCTGCTTCTGTATAAATGCTGAAAGGAAGTCAATGATTTCAAAGCCAATCACCAAAAAGAATAAATGCATTTCCTAGAATAGACATTTTTAGACTTTGTCAGTAACCTAAAATAAAGGAAACATAGAATCTGAGCAGTGTTAGCTATGCCAACTGTAGGCAACACTTAGGAGGAGCTTAAATTTCAAAAATATTGTAGTAACTTAAAAATGGGTAGATTATCCTCTTTGGCTTTGTTCTGAGCATTCCTGAACCACCTCACAGCTGGCAAAAAATGATGAAATTAATCTTTAAGGAAGAGCATTTCAGCATTCACACTGCAGTGCTCTTCAAGGTTCATGCTGCTTCTTTTCCTTACCTTTTAGCACCTTGCTGCTTTTCCAGATCCCACCCTAAATCCGTTCATAGCCAAGTTTGGCATAGCGCATCACAAGCCAAGAGCACGGCATAAATCTACTTATTTGGACACCCTACATCAAACAATGGAGTCTGAAGTATTTTGCAGTCCAGCTCACTAAGAGAACAGATAAAAAGCAATGCAGTAATACATTTACCTGATCAGCATAGCAAAAGTGATAGATAGCTTTCTTCTGACAGCTTTCCTCAGTAAATCCACTTCCCTTCTCAGTCCTTGGTCAGATAAACTCCTACAGAAATCCACTGACTATGAAGGTTTGGAGGACTTTTAAGATACTATTTTTGTTCTCACAGCTGTTTTCAGGTGCTTAAAGAAAGCAACTGGAGAGCTAAGGGTTGGTTTACAGAAAATATTTACCTTTAAACTTTCCAACTTTTACAAAATTAGCAACCATGGATATTCAAATCAGTGATAAAGATCAGTACTGACATGCTTCATTCAGCATGGCATGTTTCCTTCCTTGTGAATCCTAGCTCAACCATGTGATGGCTAATACACTCAAAAATGCAATGAGCTTATGACCCGTCTATCTGTGCAAAGTGTTCATCCTTATGGGGCACTCTGAGTTTTTCAAGAGAGTTATTTTAATCTCTTTAGATGCCATGGGACCAGTTATTGTTCTTGCTGGCACCATTTCTGTAGCTAAAATTAAATTCATCTGATCTTCTTAACCAGCTGTGAAAGTTTCACACACACACAAAAAAAAAACTAATCTTTTTGGAGGCATTGTGTATTTTGCATGACAGCGAGATGTGTAAGCTGGCAATGCCTAAATTGTCCAAATAAGTTGAGATTTGCTCCATCAGGGCAGATCCTGGGCAGACCAAATCAGTCTCTGAGCTGTCCTGGTCTTTGGAGAGAGAGCTGCTCTGAGGCTCATCCTCAGATGAGAGAAGGGAATCAGCACCTGCTGAGCCTTGGGACCACCACGTGCAACAAACAGAATCAGCCTGGACCGTGCAGTTCAGTCCAGTGGAAAGATGAAGAAGAAATCACAGAGACACGAGGAGATGTGTGAAAAGATGAACTAAATTACCTAGATAATGTGGCTTGAGGCAAAGGTTACACCAGTGCTGAGGTCAGAGAAGTAGTGCAGAAATGGCCAGATGGCTTCTAGCCCATGTCCAACATTGATAGATCATGGCTGGCTGCCTATTACTTGTTCATTGAATACCTGACCAAGAGAATGAAGAACTATTCCAGATAAAATTGTTGCTCTTTTACATTTTATGTACAAAGAGTTGCTTGAAGTTGTGATGATGTTTTTAAAGTTGATGTGGTTTTTGAAATTACCATTTTTTTCTCACTTGTAATGTCGGCCTGTGCTTTTCCAAATTTAATACTGTGGCAGAAGTGGGAGAAGAAAGCTTTAATGAGTTTTTCAAAGTTTTCTTCCTTGTTTTGGCCTGTTACAGCTGAAGTCTAAGAGACTGGGGTTAAAAGTATTTCCAGGTACCAAATTTCTCTTTTCTTCCTTTTACTTACTTTTTATCACATAAAATGTCCATCAATTATCTCCTTATTTTACTTCAAAACACAACACATGCACAAATACACACAACAGAATCAATGGCAGTATCTCAATGATTTTAACAGACATGAAGATAATAGAAATACAAATAAAAAAACCTTATGATAACACTACATAAAGAAATGCCTTTGGCTTTTTATGAAGCATTGATGCATTAGAGGTGATCCCAACAGACAGAAATACAGCTTTACAGTGGGAGACCACAATATGAGAGACAATCAGGAAATAGTCTGGACACAATGTTATCTCAGAGACATGGAAAAATGTATATTTATATACCTACAGGGTAGGTAGAAGTCTGAGCTGTCAACAGAAGGGGAAGAGTCGAGGGGATAATTTGAAACATCCTGAGCGGAAAATATAAATTACCAGCCCGGGGAGGGGTGTGAAGCATGATTGTTTCTGAGTAAGAACAGAGGTGAGTAATTAAGGAGACACTTACTGTGCCAGGCCTGGGGTAGGGGATGCGGCCCTCGTACTGCACCCAGCGGTGATCCGCGCTCTCCTTGTGCGCGTAGGGGCCGTTGAACACGGCCCTGATCTCGGCCATGCTGTACACACACACTGCAGAGCCCTTGAACACAGAGCTGCAAGGAAAGATCATCCATGTGCACGCTGCAAACAGCCCCATGCTGCCCCAATTAACCACTTACAGAGCCTGGTGGGCTTGGGATCACCCCCACACCTGGTGGCTGATCTGCTGCTAAACATCAGCATGTACAGGTCTGGTAATTACAGATAGTCAGTGTCACTAAAAGCTTTAAACTTTGCTCGGTTGAAACCTGGTTTGTCCTTTGGGACTACCTGATGGAGGGTCATTTTTTCTAGTGGCTGACAGTTTCCAGCTATCATTTACTAACTCTTTTGATTAGAATTTTATCAAAGTGAAGCACATTAATTTACATTGTGTTCACATCACATATATTAGTGATATAGGTGAGGACCCTGAGAATTACAAGTTGCATTGGAAAGACAAAAAAAAAATATATAAAAATAAACACTTACTTAATTTTCATGCATTTTCCCTTTTTTAATGTATTTGTCTAAAAAAATCTAAAACATTTCAGTTTTCCAAAGAACACCATGCCAGGTTGCTAAGTAGCATGTACTTTAGTTACTTCACAAACCATTTCATTTATTGTGCAATATTTACTTAAATTTAAGTCTTTTCTGTGGTTATATATTCTAGAGAGCTATTGTGGTAACTGCTTCTGAATTAAGGAGTGTCTTGGCAATTCCTCATTGTACTCATACTGGTCAGCATTTGGCTAGTCATTATTTATACTTAATTCAAATGTTTTGCAGACCAGAATTATTAATTTTCCTTCTGACAATTATATAGAGAGCACCTCAATATTGATATGAAAGATCATAAATTAATTTGTGCATCCCCCTGAGATAAAGTTGGGTTATCCTTTCATCAACTCTGGATTATAAAATCACTTAACTATCAGTTTAGAGAGTAATTTCGATACTAAGAAATAGCAGATGTCAAAGTGCTTCTTACAGAAATGAGGCTTCACAACAATAATTTCCCTAAAATAGCAACTACTGGTTCCTCAATAAATATGATAGTAATTTACAAATTCAACTGGATGATGTTGAAATAATTTTGTTTACTTTTGATTGTTACATTACTTTTTATACTCTCAAAAGTTAGGCACACAAAGGTTTAGGGACATAATTTATTATTTCCAGTTCTAAAAGATATTGTCCTCAGTGACTACAGCCCTGACATTGGACACCTTATTCCAGCAGTTCTTAATTGCACTCAGGAATCAGGATCTAGTCTAGAAGACCTGAGTATATACAAAAGTATAAAAGTCCTGTGTAAGATCTTCATCATTTGTTTCCTGGGGCAAACACAGTCCCAACACATACCTTGTTGTAGTGAAGACTCCATACACAAGTGGGTTCCTCTCATCTCTTGTAGAAAGTAAAAATATATCTTCTGCAATGAGAAAAATATATTTGGGGATTTTTTTTTAAGTTAAACATCCATTGACAATTTCTGCATTTACCATTTATAATGTGGAAATTTGTAAAAATATAATAAAAGGTTTTATTTTGGTTGGAATTTTAATTTCTGCCACGTGAATTTGTAATGATATTCTGAAATGTGTTCATTTGCAGATAGTCTGGGTTTTATACTGAATTGGATTTTTACTTTCCAGATTTTGGAGGGAAAGGAAAAAAAAAACACTGTCATTCTGATCTGATCAACATTAGTTATAATCAGGGACTCCTGATCAAAGTCAGAAGTATTCCTAGCCCTGTTTGGAAGAGGAGTAAAATCAAAACAAGACATAGTGCTTCTATAAACCAAAGGTAAAAAATCCAACAAAAGCTCTATTACTAACGTCAAAATAGGCCATTAAAGATAAATCAACTTACGCAGCTCATCGAAATGTGTGTCTGCCCCTTCAGGACCAGGTATGGAACACACAAGCCTAGCTTTCAGAAAAGTTGTCCACTTGTTGATTAAGCTTCTTTGGCCTCCCATATCATTCTAACAAAAATAAAATGAAATTCTTGAATACTTAAAAAGTAATGGCTTTAACACATGACAGCACACTATGGACTGTGCATCTTCTGTCTACTTCCACAGTTTTCTCTAATCACAACAACATAATTTTTCTTTTTTTTTAATTTTTTTTTCCTAAAAGAGTGTAGGAGAGCCTTTTTCTAAGAAGTTTCTGTAGTTTCTTATCATCTCAAAGAGTGGGAAATTAAAATTTCCTAATTTTACCCACAACTGATTGCAAAGGTCCTTCACCAGCTTTTTAACTGGAATGTCTATATCACATGATTTCTTGCTCCCTGTGAGGCTAACTTTTACAATCAGTTGTCCTTCAAAGTTCTTTACAAACCAAATAATAGAACAGAATCTTTTGGATAGATTTCGCAAAAACAAGGAAATCTATATTCTTCAGCAGCTTACAATGTAAATACTGCACTGTTTTCTTTGTGTACACAGTACAGAGAAAAATGCATTCCAGGCAAAACCAGTCATATTGTTCTAATAATCATTGTTACAGAAATATCAGTCAGTCCTCTGACAACAGGTATTTTTTTCATTTATTTTACTAAGCGTTTCCAAAATGTAAGCACACTTGCCCAAATTTCCTTTAGTCACTGGAGAAAGAAAAAAACTATAAAGGGCCACTTGAAATTTGAACTACATTTCTGAAGGGTAAGTGACCTCCTACTGACTTGGATCAGCAAAGATGGTGGATTGTAGAAGATGTAAATTTTAAAAAGACAAACCAGGAGTCTAATTATGTACCTCTTCCACAGACTACATAAAGGACTCTGCTGGTTCCAAACAGCAGAACTATTTAGGTTCTGCAAAACCCTTTGGGCCCCAGAACTCTTCATCCTAAAAATGGTAAGGGCAACAATATACCAGCAGGAACAAAGAATTGAAACACTTAGAAGAAATGTTATCACCAGCAGTAGCCTCCCAGCTGTAGGTTCTGAATGGTCCCATGGTCCCAGGGGGTGCCTACTTCTCTCAGTTATAAACTCTGAAGCTAAGGGTATCTGTGTTCTAAGTTTAAGGATCACAAGTTTAGCCCTAAATATTCAGCCCCTTCAGATTCATTAGGAGAAATAACTTTTTTGTTAATTCACTTTGCAATCTGAAGGCACAGAACCAGCCACAGTAGGAAACACGGTGGTGGGAATTACATGTCATCACCACAGATTGTATTTGGCCCTTCAGGGATGTATCATACATACTACAGGCATTCAGAAAGATGGCTTTAAGTGCTGAAATCACTTCACAAGGAGTAACACTTCTTTGGTAATGCACTCTAAATCCTTTCCCTTTTCATGTACCTGCTACTTTCAAATAGATTAGCTCAGTTGGAAATGATTCCTGTTAATATATGGCCTTCAGAACTCCTGCTCTTACAAGAATTGCTGCCTCCTCTCTTGATTTCCTGAGGTTCTGCCAAGCCTGAAGCTTTACATCTACCCAACAGATTTATTACAAAGGTGTCAAAACTAGCAGCCTGAAGCCAACAGCTAAAAAAGCCTCTGCATGTGTGTGTTCTGTTCAAAGGCAGAGCAAACAGATTTTGTGGTGCAGCTGAAACAAAACAACTACAAAGATGCAAGAAAGAATCTCAAAAAAGCAATGACTGTTAAGCTTTTCCTTCCTCTGGCAATTCAGATTAGCTAAGCAAATCTCACATTGCAGGGCTTCCACTTTGATTTCTGGTGGATGCAGTGCAGCATCACAGGAGATGAGATGTCTCTAATTACCTGACTAAAATCAGAAAACAGGAAGAAAGCGTGGAGCAAGCGATGGGGCTGGAATAGAAGAAGGGCTCTTGTCTAGTTCCTACACTGCAGCATTCAGCTTTTGCAAGAGATAGGATGATATGCATTTTTTTTTACCAACCTTAAGTTGTGTTCCACCACAGCATTTTCACAAATTCTTATTTTAAATGTATCAGTAGTTCCACTGAGTTGCTAGAAAGCAGTGTGAACAAAACACTGTGCTCAAAGGAAGCAATCTTAGCAAGTGCTGTGTGCATTAAAGTATAAAATATATGGAATTAAGATGTATCCATATTTCCTTGCTCTCAAGCCAGGACATGATGTTAACCATGTTACTTGAATTTAAGAGACATTAGAACAGATATTCACTAGGTGTGCATTACATATCCAAAAGCTGCCAAAGTATCACTGTACAATTTTTAATGGAGCAAAGGGGATTCATTGACCAGTCAGCATTCCAAGAGCTACCAAGTCCTCCTGAAGCCAGAGAGTGACAAATTTATGGTGCAGAGAGACTGAAAAGACCTTTCACTGATTTAGACATTTGCTCATGTAATATGCTAACATATCCTTCAACATGCTTCTTCCTACTGCCATGGCTGAGTGAAATAAAAAGCATATTTTACTTAGAAGATATTTTTGTTTGTGGTTGTGGGGATTTTAGGGGATTTTTTTGATTAGTAGCCATATAGTCCTCTTCGATTCTATGCGTCATCTCAGATTAATACAGTATCTTTCCTTTCCTACAACATGCCCAGGATTCATTTGGATTGACTGAGAACGTGCAGGAACTGACAAAAGCCATGATGATTTTATCTACATACAGAATTAGTTCAGACTAAGGAGGTTCAGAAACTATAAATAGTATAGGTATGTCTTTGCTCCTCAAGTCTCAAGCAGCATTTATCTTACTAAGCTATGTAAATTTCTATTTTTTTAAGAAAGGGTACCCTTTCCTTCCTCATACTATTTTTGGTGCATATTAACTTAGTCTTTGACTCATCTTGAGGCTTCAGGTGCTGGAGAACATGCAGTTGTTCTCCTTTCCTTCAGACCCTGTTGATGTGTACTCACTCACTTTACATCACATCTGCCCAGTCTGGCAGAGATTTCTTGGACCCTCATCATTCCTGATTACTGGCCTCTGAGAGCCTGCACAAAGGAAATACTGGCCCAAGTTATTTTTGAGACTGGGCTGCTACAGAAAGAAGACAGTCTCTTTTGCCAAATGGATTATTTAATAGTAGCAGTCTGGAATGAATCACTGATGCGCTCAAATGCTGTGAGCTGGCTGTGGAGCAGGACATAAATACAGCAGGATGTACAGGCTGGGTAGCCGGTGGATTAGAAGAAATGCATGGAAGAGTCAAAATCACCAAAGCAAAGTCCAGTTAGTGCACAGGTGGACAGAAGTAAGGATTAAACACAAAGCCATAGACTACTAAGAAGCCTATTCAGCTGATTTATACTAAGCAAAGGTTTGCCTCAGGCCTGTTTAAGTGATTAACTAGATGTACTGAAATGATTTTTGACAAGAGATACGGTCTGAATACAAAGAACTCTAAATATTTCAGGGAGACTGGACAAGAAGACAGGATAAATTTAAGTGCTGAGAGAAGAAGGCAGCATGAACAAGCCTTTCATTCCAAAAATATGGCTAATCTTGTAACAGCCAACCAGCCTCGAGGATCTGAAATCTTATCTCCCAAAATATCACATCTAAGCACACTGGATTAGCTGTGTTTACTATAAACTCTGTTACTGGACAGATGAAGGCACTTAGGACTGCATATTTCATTTTGAATATAAATAAAGCTTTAATTAGCACTTACCGCTTTGTAATCTCACAAGCTATAACAAATACCAACACTTCTGCCTGAAATACCTTCTTTTTAACAGAAAGAAGTGCTTGTAAAATCTTGGTTATTTGTGCTTGCCTGAGATAGAAATGTAGATAATTGTAGAAGGGGGGCTGTTCAATCTGTCACCTGTTGAGGAAATATTACCCCAAAATACCACAAAAAATTCTAACTACAAATTACTTAGATAAATGGGGAAGTAGTCCAATATGACTTTAATAAATCAGGCAGACTCTTATTTATAGAAATCCTAAATTTATCCCTTTTCAATGAGCTGGTTGCAAAAAACAATTTGCTGGAGTGAGAAATCAGGTTTCTACCAAATTACATTGAGAATTCAAATATCAGATGTCACACTTCCATCAGCGTAGGTCATTTCAGGAAGACTGCTGTTTAAATGGCAGAGTGTAAATTTTGTGAAGTAATTTAAGGTCAAATCATGCACCTCTCTTGGGAGTCTTCCATGGTAATTTCAGTTTTCTGATCTGCAATTTATATGCAATTAAGCAAAACAACAGGATTTTCAAACCATCTAGCTAAAGATAAGCTCACATGAAAATAAGAGCCATCAGAAAAAATACTGCTCTATGATCAAGAGATTTAAAAATTAACTTATATTAAAGACTTTCTGTCATATTTATTTTCTATTCTGTTGTATCTTATATACTATATTAATGTAGCTTCATTAAAATGAACAAATGTTAGTCTTGGAATCCAGTAGGCAGGAAAACAGATGGCAAGGAAACTAAAGAACATCTGCATCTTTGGGGATTTAAATCACTTATTTGCTTGTAAGTAACAGTGACAAATTGAACATTAGAACAAAAAGTGCAGTTATCTGAAAAATCAGTCTACATCAAAGATGTCAAACACTGTGATTCATAAAACTTTAAAGACAGTAATTATCCTGAACAGCCTCTAAAAGGGGGGGAAAAAAAAAGGAAGAAAAAAGAAAAAAGACAATGAGTGGAATTTCTAGAAGCAGGTTATTAATTACAGCCAGTGGCAAGATGTGCAAAAGGACTATGCAAAGAGAATTCCTGGCCTGAATAAAAGAAAATGTTGGAGAACAGAGAGGAGAAGTGCTGAAACTGCAAAAGGCCCTGGAGCCTTTCTCTTATTGAAGCTTAGCTATGTGGCAAAGCTACCAGAAACAAATGGCATCCCCTGAAGCAAAGACTTATATTATGGAGGAAAAAACCTCCAACCCTGTAGCTGACTTTATAAAGGAGAAACAGCCAACAGTGTCCTTTCAACTTCTGTCTTCAGGTTCACAGTTCTTTCTATAATTATTTTGTTTGACTTTACGTATTCTGCCCCCATTCAACTCTGTTAGGTGCCAACCTAACAGAGGAAAGTTAAATT